CTCCGGTAGCATGTTTCATTCAAGGGCTCTGCATGAGGCAGAGTAATGCTAGAGGATAAGGTGGAAAATAAATCACATGAATAGGATGAGGAAGGAAAAGAAGGATGAGAAAAGAGGTTGAGGGGCAGTGGGGCCGGAATAAGAAGGGAACAGATGAAATTTCATTCTCTTTCTGCCCGAGGATGGGGATCATTACATTTCGGATTAACACAGTTAATTACGTCCACTAATCTTCTTCACATGCGCGATGAACCTGTGAGTTGCCAGAAAAACTTGGTCACATGTGCACACAATCGCAGAAGTGTACACGCGGATAGAGTTGCTGGTGTCCCTGGCCAAAAGTATGCAGAACAGGATTGTAGCTGTGTAGAACGCCAATCGGCCAATCGCTTCAGGTTGGCTCTTGAGCCTGTTTTGGTAATCCCTAGGCCGGAATGATGAAGAAGAGCCTCGCTCGGAGTTGGCTCCACTCGTTAAGTGTCCACAAGTACCAGAAGAGAGAGAGAGAGAGGGGGAGAGGCCATAGAGAGCGAGACACTGAGTGAGGCCACGGGATTAGAGCGAAACTAGAAAACAGTTTCTGCCTCTCCAGAAGCATCGGCCGACTACAGAACACGGACTCAACGGGGGAGAGATGCACTTCTCCACTCGACTCGAAAGAGAGGGTTCAACTGCAGGGCTCGGATAATCCACAGGCCATGCCACTTCAGACGGTAATCCCCAAGTGGGAACAAATGAGGAGCACATACGACAACCGCAATCTTGTGGAAGTTTGAGTCAAGTGGGGACTTGGTTGAAGAGAATCTACCCCGTTTTTAGGCCCAACAATCGGGCTTACGCTGGTTGCCAGGTCAGCAAAAGCAGAGGAAAAGAGAGCGAATTGTTCTGGGGCAATAGGATGATCTTGCATTTGTCATTCTTAACAGCTGTTAAAAGGCGGCAAACCAATACCATCATCGGAGGGTACAGTTTCACTTTGACGAAGTGCTTACTACCACAAAAGCAATCCTTGTGATGACTGGGAATATAAAATAGCTCGGGAACTGAAAAATGGAAGTCTTGGCCTGG